ACTTGTTTCTTAAAATTGAATTATTTTAATATTTTATATTAAACCATTTAACTGGTAAAGAAATAGTTAATGCCCATTTAAAAAGGTATTTTAGTAGTGAAAATTTTTATTATATCTGGTCTAATGTTACACAAAGAAACATTTGACTATTATCTCGTGCAATATTAAAATGCTAAAATGTTATACCAAACATTGTATAATGTTAAAATATAACCATGTTATACAATTAGGTTTTGCTATCAAGTCTTATCAAACTAACGTACCAAAAGGCTCTTAAAAACCCTACAACTCCATTTTAATCACACAAGGCACCGTTTCCATGAATTTTTTATTGACTTGTTTACTAATCATAACTATGTCCAGATCAGTTTTTTTAGGACACCGACATTGAACTAGTTGATCCTCCTGTCACAACACTCTCTCCAAACTTGAATACTTTTCAAATCTACATATGTTGTGTGCGAAAATCCACTCTACCTTAACCAGTTTTCTGTACGAAAGCTTTAATGTCGAATGCATCATCAGCAGAAGTCTTCGTAATGACACCCTGCTCGGAGAACATGAAATGGTTTAGAAGAGAAAATGCAACTGAAACCCATACAAATTATGCAAGTAAAGAGAGATAAGGAGTAAAGAAAGACCTTCTCCGTGATGATCCCAGATATTAGACTAGCAGGAGTAACATCAAAAGCTGGGTTCCACACAGAAATTCCCGATGCAGCAACCTGCTCTCCAAGTCCTCCACGTGCGTTCAACAATTCCTTGGGAGACCTCTCCTCAATTACAATTTCTTGTCCGGAAGAAAGTGATAGATCAACGGAGGTGAGGGGGGCAGCCACATAAAAAGGTATATTATGAAACTTTGCGGACAAGGCAACACTGTAGGTTCCAATTTTGTTGGCTGTGTCACCTGAAATGTCATTTAGAGGAAGATGAATCTGATGATACCTTTCATGCTCACGCAAACTATAGCTTATTTTCATTGTAACTCAAAGTACCATTTGATGCAACACGATCAGCCCCAACAACAATAGCATCCACACTTCCTGCTTTCATTAGTGCAGCTGTAGCAGAATCAGCAATAAGAGTTGCTGGTATTTTTTCATGCACCAACTCATAGGCAGTAAGTCTAGATCCCTGCAATTAAACATTGCGATTGATTGGTACTCACAACCTCCAAATCGTTTTAAGTTTGATTTCATAGTATGGGTTCTCAAAGCTACTACAAACTTAAGCTAACTTGTTCTTATATGTCATCAATCTACAGTTCAAATAATATACACCCATATGTTCTGTATCTCTGTAGTCGGCGTGATCATCACCTCTAATATCCTGACTCTGAATGAAATTTTAGTATTTTAAGTTTAATGGGCCCCAGAATTTTTACTCTCTTCTTTTCTTTATTCAAATGAATGACTACGCAGAAAACTTAAGCTGAATATAACTAATTAGATTAACTACAATTATCACCAAGATACAGATCGAAAAATATCTGTTATTTGAGTGTTCTTGTTCATAAATTGATGCTACATATTAAAACTTTATATTGGACATGGGTATAAACCAGAAACGAATATACATCATTGTAGTTAAAAACTGTTCTCAATTAATGCTATTAATCAAGTTGTTAAAAAAAAACATAAAATAACTTTTACTGATCATCCAATTTAAATGTAACACGGGATGTATCTTCTCTCAAAACGGAAAGATCACTCACTTCATTTTGAATATAATACGGAAAGTGCACTCACTTGATTAAACGGGCGTGTTTCAGTGCAATAAGCCCTTTCTAGAACTCCTGCACTGTGAAGTGCACGGATCACACCCAAAGCAGTACCATATCCAGCTGTGGCTAGACTGAGTATTAATGAAAGACCAAGTTATTAGTGCGTCCAAACACTGAATCATTAATGTATCAAACAAATGGAAAACAACAGATAACTATATTATATGAAGTACTACACTAAATAAGGAATGGTACTGTAAAAGGCACCTTCCAGTATTGCAATGCGTCAAAACAGAAAGCTTTTGTTTCCCAGTTTGTTGCTGAATACAGCTAGCTCCGTAAGAGCCAATAGCTCGATTTGAGGCAACATCATCCCCAAGCATAACTTCAGCAGCTTCTATAAATGCCTACGGATTAATCCAGTATATTCAGGTTCAAATGAGTAAAAGGGGTAAAAAAAATGTAAATTTCTTCATAAGCAAGAATTCCTTTAGTGTAAATTCTAGTAATACCTGGAAAACACTCCTGCCCTCTGAAGTGGTAGCAGCAGCATTTGATACGACTTCTTTGAGTTTTCCCGCAGCATCCGATAGATTCACTGCAGTTGGCCGACTGCATCATGAAGAAAGAAATAAGCTAAAACTCATGTTTGAAAGGAACTTAATGACAATCACATTAACTTCTTCACAAGGAACTTCAATATGCCGAATGCTAATCGCTGGCAAAAGCATGCTTAAATCAACCAAAATACCCAGATTGCTGCCTAAGAAATGCAGAAAATTTGTACACACCTTGAGACAAGATATTCTAATTTATTCTGCAGGAAGGAAACAGCTTCACCAGCTGATCCATTGAAACCGTCTAAATTGAACACCTCCACAGCCAAAGAGAGTGCCGCTGCAATCGCAATAGCAGGTGCTCCTCGGACCACCATATCCTGAATGGCATTCCTGAGAAAGTTATGAACATTCAAATAGTTTGAACCCACCGACTGAAAATATTAAGATTATAATCCAAATTCTAGATGAAAATTGTCCACTTAAAAAGTTATCTACTGATGTAGCGAAACTCATTCAAATTCAACTAAAACATCTTACCAGCCATCTGTTGAATCCCGAATTTCCAAGTAAGTGGTCTCCAGAGGGAGCTTTCTCTGAAAAGCAGAATCAGTGGCGAAATGTAAAGATTAAAACAAAACCAAGATTAGTGGTTGCCACTACACATCCAAATTATTAAGCCGGACTTTCAAATTTAAAATATAATATTAGAACATTGTCGGAAACGTGAAACGTGTGTACGTGCGAAAATCTTTGCATACGAAATCGGCGAAGGGAAGAGGAATATAAAGAGAAGAGAGGACCTGGTCGAGAAGGTGGAGGGAACCGCGGTTGTAGCGTATGGATTGGAGCGTTGCTGCAACATCGTTGAACTCACGTGCCATGGCTTCAGTTTCCCAAACAGATTCAGGGTTTTAGGGTTCGGTTCCCGAAGAAGGTTAGTGTGTGTTTGCTACTTTACCGAGTTTCAGAAATTCGCAATCCTGCGTTTTTCTCTCTTCTACTGCATAAACAAAGGAATACGATGTTGTTTCTTTTCTCTATATCTTTCACTGCTAACAAAGATTCCGCGATCGTGCTTTTTCACTCTTTTACTTCAGCAACAAAGATTCCTTGGCATCCTCCACCACCACCCAAACAATCCTGATTCTTAAACCAACGTTTTAAAAATGCCCACTATGTTATGATTGAAGATAAGGAAATTTTAAAAATTGTTATAAACAACTTTTAAGAAGAAAAAACATTCATTTTTATTGAGACAACTTACTTGCCTAACCTATATCTCAATCCTAAATTCCAATGATGTATTTTCTCCAAACTTTAAAAATTAAGAATTTATTTACATGATAAATGAGGCTCTTATGAGATATCAACACATATTTAAACATACACGTGTCAATGTCATAAATCACGACAACATATTCATAACATTGTTTGAAAACGAAAATTATATTCATTTACATTTTTAAAATTCAAGATGAATAACTTTTAAAATATTTTAAAACTTGAGTCAAAAAACAAAATTTCATTTTATATTTTTATTTAAGTATTAGAAAGATATGTAAGAATTTAAACAATTATAAAAGACAATAGAATTGATAAAAAAATATATTTTGAGACGTATAATTTTTATATTTATTTAATATTATTTTTTCTTAAAAAATATAAAAATTTAATTTTTTATAATATTTATTTTTGTATTGTATGGGAAATAAATGTAGAAACGTGTTACATTGATAATTATCTTATAAGCCTCCTTCGTCACATGGTTGCGAATTTATCAATTCTAACCCAATAACACGCACAAGTGGAGGACTTCTAAAGAATTTAATGGTTATCAATTTGACGCGAACTTTGAAAAATCGTTGTCGGATATCAGATGACAGTCACACTTATATTGCTTAGTGGACATTTAGATGTTGGAGTCAACAACATATATGAGAACCCAACCAAATTATAAAAATAGTTTTAACAAATTTAGAAAATAAATTATGTTATTATTGAAGTTGAAACTCTAGTGGTAACATTGATTCAAATAAAGTTCCACTTGAAAAGAACTTTTTATTCTCAAATTAGTAAAAAAATTGAAAGTAATAATGTTAAGTGTTTAATACTTTATATTTTAAGTCTTTGAATCTTCGAGAAGAATGAAAATAAAAGAAAATATTAAATTTCTTACGTGCATTATTCGTATTTTTTAACCATTCCCAATAGAAGCCGTGAACAAAGAGAAAGAAAAGAAGGTTAAAACAGGAAAAGAAAGAAAGTAACTTCCCAGAACGGTTCTTCTACAAACTCACCACCTTCTGATCTATGAATCACTTCCGATCTACGCTACCCTTTTTCTGTTTCTAGTCACTTCATTTTCGATACACATTTTTACACTTTCTTAGGGTTCCAAGTCCCCTTTTCCTATTGAGGTGAGTTCTGGTGTGAAATCAATCATCCGTTGTTAATTTTCATACCATGATCGCAATCACTCGATTTCTCTCCGTTTGTCATACTAGCTTGCTAGCTCATGCCATCCACCTTCCATTTTTTTGGTTTCTTGTGCATTTGTCGCGGTTGCTTCCAAAACGGACTTGGTGGAAATGTTTTAGCAATGAAGGCATTTTAATTGAAATTGATAACTTTTATTGGAATTTTTTGTGGAAGAAGGTCTTGCTGTTTCAATGCTGCTTAGAGTTTGATTGATCACTTGCTTTTTTGAGAAAGCGACGTTTGGTTGTCCTCTATAGCTCGAAATCATTGTTGGCTCAAACTGAAACCTTTTATTTATTTTTGTTTGTTTCCTTTCTTGTTGGAAGATTATTGATTGGTTTCTACTATAACTCAACTGGAGCTTAGGATTCAACACATTTGTAAAGGAAAGAAGGTGTCTTCCCTTCCCTTCCCTTTTCTTTACTTTCCTATGTTTTTAACTTTCTTTTGTCTGTTTAGGATGAAGGTGGGCTTCTATGGCTTGAAGGGTAAAGAAATTTCCCTTATTTCCATTATCCTGGTGTCCACAACGTTCATTATATGGTCATGGGAGAGAGCACCCGGTCGTGCTTCATTTGTTTCCTCTCAAACATTGATGCATTTTTCTTCAGGTTTGCATTAGTTTTTTCTTTGAATAAAACTTGTGTGTTATTCCCTAATATGGGAATATTATTTTATTTTTCATTTATGAAGGCCTCATTTATGTTGCAAAGGTTACTTAGTAATTTGGACTTTGGAGGTAGTGTTTAAAGTCTGAATTAAAGAACATGTTGTCTTGATGAGTGATGAAGCTAGATGTAGATCCCTAGTTTCTTGATAAGGATAATCTCATCCTTTTGAGATGAGGATTGAGGATTCCATTTATTTAGTATCCATTGGCGCCAAATACCGTCTTATTATTTTGTAACGAAGCTTTGAAACTTCATGCGGAACAGTCGACTTGTATTTACTATCAGTAGTTTATTTTTGGTTGTTTAGCTTATTTGAAGATAATTTGGCCAATAGCTCTGTGGTCCACATACTCGTGCCAAAGCCATGTATACGTGTAAATAATAAAACAACCAATAGGATAAAGAAACTAAATATTAATGTTGTGTCTCAGGCAGTTTCTGCCCAATGCTTTGCAAGGGATTAAAGGAATGCTGGAACTTCTCCATATACAAAACGTAATATATTTCTTTCAAATTATATGGTTGCATTTCTCATTTATCTACGTGCTTATGTTGTTCTTCATCAAGTTGATTGGGTTAATTATACTGTTATGATGAATCGTGTCCGCTGTTTTATGTTCTATTCTCTCATAAAAAGAGATTAGATTATACTATTATCATCCTTTAACCATTACAACCCTTGTCATGTGTTCTTGCTGTTCCCTTCCCCTTCTATCTTTGTTAAGCTCGTGTTAACTTGGGACTTAAACTTGGTCTTTCGTTTGATGTTGTAGAAATGCTTTCCAGTGTGTTAGATGAGTATGATAGCAGCGGAGAAGTTGGCATCAGTTTGAATAATGCCACAGAAAACGAAGGTATTGGAAATTTTTGGCAAATGAATATGTAATATGTCGCTCTAATTCCCAATTTCATGGAATGTTCAAGCTGATCCAAGTATCCGTAGAATATTATTTGAAGCTAACTCCTTCTGCTGATTTGAAGGGAAATTGATACATGTAACTTGTTTTGTTGACCTTGGGTTTTTTTTAAAGTGTTTCTCTTTTTTTATGACAAACCAACTTTTCATTTAATTTTGCAAAAACCTTTAACCCTTATGGTTAGAGGAAAATTGATGCATGCTCTTCAGCTTATTATCTGATAACAAGCTTGTTTTTAAAGGTTACCTCTAAATTTTTTTAAGAAACCAGTTTTATTGCTAAAGAAAACTCAAAACGTTATAGCTGTTATAATGTCGAAGTTGAGAAAATAATCTCATTGTTTGTTCCCTTCTCTTATCGAGAGGTGACATATCTAAGCAAGTTGCAATTTAGCACTATTTTGAGCAGTAGTAGTCAACAAACAAAAACATATTTCTGTGGACTGATTCAGGGATGAAGAAGCTCTCATGTTAGACAAACTGGATTAAACTTTTGAGTGTTCAATATATTTTCTCTTGTTTGGTCTCTTCATGCATTCATGCTTTAGAGGATCAAAGTCCTTCTTCTGATGCAGGGAAAATTTCATGCAAATTTGTTAGATTGATGAACCATATATTGCTAGTACTATTAAGTAAGGACTGCTTTCTTGTGGATCCTTTTCCAGTATGTAACCTTGCAAAAGGAAAATGGGTTCCAGACAACCGCCAACTATATTCAGGTTTTGAATGCAAGCAATGGCTGTCAGAGATGTGGGCTTGCCGCTTGACACAACGCACAGATTTTGCATATGAAAGGCTTCGATGGCAGCCAAAAGATTGTCAAATGGAGGAATTTGAAGGGTCTAAATTTTTGAGAAGGTATTCTGTGTTCTAAAGTAATGTTTATAGATCGCACTCTTGTCTAATTGATTTAGCTTTCAGTTCAATGATTTGATACTTGAGATCGCAAATTGAATCATTGGCTGCTGCTTGATATACTTTGAATAATCAGTTTGGTAGAGGCTTGTGCTAACAGGCTAATCATGTAATTTTAGTGATTACTATTTCTGGTTGCTTTGTAAGATGGTTTTGTACTTGATCAATTTCCTCTGGTTTGGAAGTTACCTTGTATTTCACTACACAACGGATTGCAATACACTTGCGCTCTTCATAGTTTAAATTAGTATAAATTTTTGGGATCAATTTTTACAAATTGATAACCATTGGCTGTGTTCAGGATGCAACACAAAACTCTAGCCTTTGTTGGAGACTCATTGGGTCGGCAGCAGTTTCAGTCTCTAATGTGCATGATCACTGCTGGGAAGGAAACGCTTGATGTGGAAGATGTGGGGAAGGAGTATGGGCTGATTCTATCTGAGGGTGCCGCTCGCCCTGATGGATGGGCTTACCGGTTTTTGAGCACCAATACTACAATTCTCTACTACTGGTCTGCAATTCTCTGTGATATTGAACCTATCAATGTCGATGATCCAGCGACAGAATATGCAATACATCTTGACCGGCCTCCTTTGTTCTTGCGCCAATTCCTTCACAAGTTTAACGTTCTGGTTCTCAATACAGGTCACCATTGGAATCGAGGAAAGATCAATGCTAATCGGTGGATAATGCATGTTGGAGGTGTGCCAAATACTGACAAGAAGATAGCAGTGGTTGCGGGTGCCAAGAATCTCACTGTTCACAATGTGGTTAGGTGGGTGAGCTCGCAGCTTTTAGAGTATCCTAGTTTAAAGGTATTCTTTCGGACCATTTCCCCAAGGCATTTTGTTGGTGGGGACTGGAACACTGGAGGCAGCTGTAACAGCACTACACCAATGTCAGTGGGAAAGGAAATATTGGGTGAAGAGTCTACAGATAAAGTTGTAGCCAATGCAGTGAAGGGAACAAGGGTCAAGATCTTGGACATAACAGCTCTTTCTCAGCTTAGGGATGAAGGTCATATATCACATTTTAGCATTTCGGCCAAGCCAGGTGTGCAGGATTGCTTACACTGGTGTTTGCCTGGCATTCCTGATACGTGGAATGAAATACTCTTTACACAAATCTAGTCTGCACA